GAAACCAGCAAAATCAGGGAGCTGGACAGGGGACAGACTGTATTTGTCTTCAGTGTGGAAGGGATTGTCACTCTCAAACTGGCCTTCTCAGTCACACTAGACACTGTTCCAAGTCCTCTATTCAGAGCACATTACCATAGTCTCTCGAGACTGATGCCTAATCTAATATAATGGTTGTTTTTAATATTATGATCATACACTCTGGGATTCTTAAGAAAGGCAGGGTATAAATAAAATAAATCAGATTAACATCAATAAATAACACATTTGCCTTAGACTAGATTGCCTAGGAAGCCTGGGAAGAATTCTGAAGTAACTACAATCTAGTCCTTGTTGTTTTAAGTTAAATGGTATTATGATATTGTTAGTGAAGTCCGGGAGACTGAGTAATCTCTAGCCTCCAAATCCTGAAAAACATATGTGTTGTGTGGAAAGGCTGTAGAAAAGAATGTAGTTCAGTATAAATATTTTGACCACAACAGCTATTAGCTCTGTAATGTGCAGGTTAAAATTTAGTATGTATCCATACTTCCATAAAAATGAGCAGAACACATGGAAATTTGATTTGCTTCTTGTGTTGAGTTGCAAAACATAATACAAACATGGATATGTAAACATGGGCTTTAAAATGAGCAGAACACATGGAAATTTGATTCTTGTGTTGACTTGCAAAACATAATACAAACATGGAAATGTAAACATGGGCTTGCTTCATGCTTCAGTATGTTCCCATCACCCCACTAGCATTAATGAAAATTATGCATGCATAATGAATGGGGCATGGACTCTGAATGAATAGGGCCCTTGTTAGTACAATGATTGAATTTAACCACTAAGGTTCAGAGATACGCTGAAGTATCCAGCTTAAGTCATTCCTGAACAAAGCTGTCATGACTGACCAATACCATCACATTCTAAATCTCTCTACCAGGGGGTTGACAGATTTGGGTCCCTAGGAAATATCTTAAATTTGCATTGTCCCTAAAGAATAATGAAAATAAGTCCCGTGACAAAAACATTATGAGAGTGAGTTGGGACAGTGCCCAGAAAATACGCTCAAATGTATAGAAAATGCAAAGAAAAGTCCATATTGTTTGGTTTATGCATGAGACTTTGATATGGCAATACTGACAAAGGTTTTCACCAAGTGTAAGCCTACAGAACTATCTGCTGCAACATATGAGAAGTGAAAGAGGAATTAGTATACGGGCATATAGGTAAACCTTGACCTCAACATCAGTCCATGCCCTGATGCAACTACATGTCTTGGCATATTTAACATGAGATAGATGCATAGATGCATTCAGGCTATAGATGCATTCAGCAGAACATACTTACTCCTTGAGATCAGGAAACCTGCAAAGGCAAATTTTTTCAAATATGTACCTTCAGCTGAAGGTCCTTATAAAACCCCTTTGGATTGTTGTGCAGACCATGCAAAGAACTCAAACTAAAATGAGATATTACATAGAGATTGAAGCAGGAGCTGGCAGGTACATTCATAGCATCCCCCCTTACCACTCACATTCTGCAGCGTATACCTGCATACAACTATGCCGACAAGACCATACTTACCCATATTGCTTGGTGGCACTTTTAATGCCAACCATATAGTCAAAACAGAAAGGTTTAAAAACTGAAATGTAGAAGACTGCAGCCCTTCGCAGGGCAGGAGAGGCTTACAGTTCTCTCCCTATTTCCATCTTCTAACACATTCCACCTCAAATGACAAGCACAATCTGCCTAATAGTAGGGTCAGCCCTAAGAATAGACTTCACTGTGAACCTCTTTGGTGCAGTGTGTGCTCCAGTAATTCTTTTTGGCTGAATGAGAGATCAAAATACCTTAATAATTGCATGCAGAAATATAACTGAATGACTCCAGAGCATCAAATAACAAAGAGATGACTAAGCAAACTAGCTTTCATGGCTATCATTGGTAAGAAATATGGCACTTTGCTGTTTTGTATCTCTTTTATTTTTTTTAACCACAGGTCTGGCTGGAGAATCTACACTGTGAGTTTTCCACATCAAAATGAAACATCTCTGCATCAGACTAAATAGAGAATTAATTTGGCATCACTGCTAGAAACTGATCTCCTTTCAGAAGCAGAGGAATAGATGCAGTTTTATTTAACTTAAGAGTGCCAGATGGAAAGAACTCTTTGCCAAGTAAGAATCAAGGCTGTGGTGTTACTATCCAGCCAGAGATTATTTGATAAATATTCACTCTGCTTGGCATTGTACAATACAAATAAATATTAATTGCCCATGATGTCCCCAAATAACTTCTGTGTATGCCATAAAATTAAACAATCTATTCAGAAGCCAAGTTCTTCTATTCCAATGACACTTGTGGGATCTGGAATGCAAAGTAAACACAAGTGATTTATATTTGAAAAACCGACACAACTTTGAAGCATCCTACATTACCCTCACCCTCCCCCCTTATTAAACAATGAAAAACATGTGTTATACTTTTGCCCATATCCTATTACTTATGCCTGGTGGTGTAACACAAATTGCCACAAGTCAGGATAGACATTTGCAATTCACATGACATGACTCATAAAAGAAAATACTACAGTAACTTTTTAACAATATTCGTACATGCGTTGGTGATCTCCAAGATTGATTACTGTAACACCCCCTACATGGGGTACTATCCTGCAACACTTGGTGAGCCATACATTCTTGTTCCTGATCTTCTTTACCTACATGAGAAGGAACTGGAATGAATTAGACTTGAGTTATTTCACTTGGATCTCTATGGGTCCTACAATACTTGCCATAATTTTCTGAAACTCCCGTAAGACTTCACTCACATTTTGGCCTTCCCAAAAATGTTATTCATGCATTAGAGATAACTCACCACATGTAAGCAGGAACCATGGTCCCTCCACCATCTTTTCTACTGATCTCCCATGCATGGTAAGCAATGAGTGTTACGAGAGAAAGAGAGCTTTGCTATCTGTGGGACCTCACTACACGAATCAACAACAATCCCATATTCTCAATGGAGTTCTCTCTTTTCCTCACCGTAACCCTCCATCTGTAGAAGAGTGATGACATCATAGAGGTGTTAGAGGTAGAATGCTCCCCGCTGAGATTATGGTGAGTTTGCCCTAATATATAAGGCCCGAATAAGGCTTGACTGATGTTGATCTATGAAAGAATAATTTTCCCTGTATATATCTTGCACAGACAGAACTGCCTTATGTCAACTGGAATTATTGCTTCTTCCTGCCAGCACAAGTTTCAAGTGGCAGTAATTCTCCATGGCCTCATCTTCTTCAGTCCTGCTACTAGCAATCCCTTTGACTCTAAATTATGGGTGGGAACCTGAGCCTCTCTGAAGGATATTCCATTCCAGATTCTGGCAGTATCACCAAGCATGGCCAAGGGTCAGGTGAAATGGCCGACAAAGTCTGTAACACCTGATGTTCCTGACATTGCTTATGTGTTTTAGCTATGCATTTATCCTGACTTTCCTCCAGAACTGGGACCCAAGATAATCTTACAACCTAACTAAAAAAAAAATTAAATAAGTAGAACTAAAAACACGAGAATTTATATATTACATTCCAAATAATTAAACTGCATTTCAAATGTTTGTTATAAAGTAATAAATATTTACATGCAATAAATTCCTAAATGAATCAGATTATTAAAACATGATAGAATTAAAATAATTTAAAATATATTAATTTAAATAATACTTACAATTAAAAATTACAGATTTATTAAGACACTTTCAATTGCTGAAGGCCTGCCTTTATAGGAAGGGGTGTTTTTTTTCTGCCAGTAGAGTTGGATAGGAAGGGAGCTTTCCTAGATTCCTGAGTAAAGGACTCTAATCATTTATGAGAAGTCACTGAAAAGGACCTCTCTTTAACCTCCACCAAATGTGCTTCTGGAAATTGTAAGACGGAGAAGGGCCTCTCCTGTAGAACTCAAATTTAGGGCAGGCTTATATGAGAAGATAAGGTATTTAATAAGATATTGGGAATCCATACTTCAGCATTACCTCTTACTGTAGCCTAATCTTGAACAATTATTCCACCCATAATTATTAGCATGATTTTGAATTGTGTGTTTTCTGCTTATTGCAGAAAAAATCCATTTACGGGAAAAGGTTTTTTAGAAAAACTCAGGTTTAGGGACATCATCCAGAGGAAAAAACACAGGGATGAGAAAGAAATTGGGAGAGGAGCTTGTAAATTTATATGAACTTCCCATTCACAACCCATCCATTTACAAACTTGCAATATGATTTGCCAAACAAAAATATTGAATTCAGGTTTTGATGTAAATAATGGCTGGAATCTTGTTGCTAAGCATAAGAATATCCATAACTTCCAGTCCTTTCTTAACTGTCAAATAAAAAGTTCCCTCTGTGATTTGGGATAGGAGGCACATCCACCAAGCCAGCATGACTGGACGTACTTGGTAAGTGCCCTCTCTTTTAAAGATATTTATGAAAAATGCACATGAAAATTATGTATGTAAATGTGTATGGGAAAATGCACTAAAATTTAAACAATGGGAGGAAAAAATATATCTGAAATACGCACACATGTTCATGCACATACTGAACCAAATCTGAACAGCTGTCAAGCTAGAAATTTAAGGACCTGGGCATTATAGATACACAGATTCATCAACAAAAACTTTTGAATGGGCAAGGAAAGCATTTGATTCAGAAGAACCACAATTCCACAGGAAGCATGGAGTCTGTCATCCTTTACACTGCTTAGAGTGGGTCCATTAGATCCAGGTTAAAGGGAAATAGATACAGGCTGAAGGTAGGTCCATTATGAGTAATAAGGACCAAATGTGTTGAAGAAGCACATGCCTTGGAGAAATGCTCTAGGTAGCGCTGTCTGGTGCATGTCTGTATCCATGTGGATGCAGACAGACAGATGAGTAAACAGTGCAGGTACATTTAGGAGTTGTCAACCATGCAGGAACACCACTGCTTGGAAAATTTACCTTTTGGATATAACTCCCAGATTACCTTAGCCAGCCCTCTTCATTCAGCCCTCTTATATGACCAGTTAGAAGTGCATTATGACTCCCAGATTACCTTAGCCAGCCCTCTTTCAGCCCTCTTATATGACCAGTTAGAAGAGCATTATGGGAAGCAGCCCCATCTCAGCAACTCCAACGCTGTTTGGAATAACTTTGTTTATTACTATTTGTTTATCACATTTCATCTCCACCTTTCCACAACAGAATAGTGTGCAAAGTGCCTTACAGCCATCGTAAAATGGAGTAAAAACAAACAAAGTTGACCATAAAGTCTTAATGAACTCATTAATCCTGTGAAGACGTCCAAGATTATACATGGGGTGTATCACAGATGAAATCAAACCCTCAGATCAAACCCTCAAATCAAAAGTCTCAGAAATATATGAATTCTCAAGGCAAGAAGCACCTCATTTCACTGTTAATTTCGGGAAATAGAAAACTGGTATTTCCATAGGGAAATGGGAGCCAAACAAATGTCCTTCCTTTTTTTTTTTACTTCTAATGCCACCACCCATTACTCAGGAGTGCCCAAAGAAACAAGACAATGGAGAAAGCAGGGACAATGGTTTGCCTTGTCAGTGGTCTGTCTGCTGCTGACCAATCAAACGTGACTTTGTTTTCCCTCATAAATCCTCACCCTTCATTTTCAAACTGGCAAAGAACATACTGCATATAACTTCTCACCATCATGATGCATCAATTTTAAAAGATTAATTTGAGAAAGCTCTTATCACTCCAATTTATTCTGCTGATTTACAGTGCAGCTATTAACACAATAGCTTTTTTTCCATTCATCATATTAATGCCTTTTTATTAGCACCCTTTGAAAGAAAACCCCACTGTGTCAGCAGACAGCCAAATAGTTATATTGTATCACTACAAGTCTTACTGTATGACTGAAAAGAGGAGCATATTTATTTTTAAGTTCAATTATTTTTAATTATGTTCCACAAATCCACATCCAATGTGCTAGGAGAGAACTAATCTGCTAAATCTTCAGTTGTATGTATGGTATTACTTCTCTAAAGTGTAAATTAAAAATAGTCCCAAGGGCCAATCCATTCAAAACTGCCCTTTATCATAATGAACAAAGCACTATAATCTAACCTTTTCAACCTGCCATGATCACAAGGTTTCCACATAGGTATATGGGTGCTCTTGCTATCCATCTACTTGAGATCTCCAGTTGTTTCTAGAGGATGGAGTTACTGTCTTTTGTCTTCTACAACATTTTAAATGTAGCACCATTTGCTTTGAAAAGGTTCCCTAAGATGGTACAGTGCTCATATTTATTATTTGAAAATTAACATTCAGAAGAATTTAATCTCGAAGTTAGCTTGTTCACAACTATACGCTATGGGTAAACAGTGCAATCATGATTACATTAATAAGTTAAATAAAATAAAATAAAATAAAATAAAATAAAATAAAATAAAATAGAAGATAGATAGATAGATAGATAGATAGATAGATAGATAGATAGATAGATAGATAGATAGATAGATAGATGGATAGATAGATGGATAGATAGATGGATAGATAGATGGATAGATAGATATAGATAATTTTAGTAATCCATAAAAATTGTGTGTAAAATAGATTATTCTTCATTTTAGAATACTTTTTAAAATGGTCTGAGGAGTATGGGAAAGTGCTAGTCCTGCTTTACTTTGTTTTGTTTTACTGCTCTTAAAAATCTTAACCTAATCACACTTGATCCATCCCTTGCTTTCAGAATTCTAGGCCGACCACTATCCCTCTGAAGACAGGGACCTGGAAGTCTCCATCTGTTGGTGGTAAATCTATACATGCAAATGTATAAAATGGACAGCACACAAAACAGCCCATAAAATAAGCAGCTGGTCCTTGGTTAAAGCCTTGCTTTCTGAAGCAGAAAAAGACAGAGAGAAAAAGACATTTCCTTACCAGGAATTGGCCCAAAGCAGCCTTACTTAACCAGAATTCCACCAACCCACAGCAATGAGGCATGAACACTATATTATGATAGAGATTTGCAAGTAAAAATATTACTATGTAAGTGACCGAGAGATACCAGTTCACATGCTTTCTAAACATCTGGCACTAGTTTTAGTATGATAGTATCTTGTTTTTTTTCTGGGACCTCCCTGTCTCAACGGATGTAATACATGATGTCTGTGATCTGTGTTTTTGTTGTTGTTGTTGTTGTTGTTTGTTTTGTTTTTTGTTTTGTTTTTGAGATCCAGCATGGTGTAGCAGATATAACATTGGACTAGGATTGAGGAGACTTGTTGTTTTATTTTTTGTTTTATTTTGTTTTTGAGATCCAGCGTGGTGTAGCAGATATAGCATTGGACTAGGATTCAGGAGACTTAGATTCACCATCTTGCCTAGCTATGGAAAGTCAATGGAAAGTGTTGGTAGTACTGTAAACTACTGCTTGAAAATCTCACATACTGTACTTTGAAAACTCTGCTAGGCTCACCATAATCTGGAAGTGACTTTAAGCGAGAGAACAACAATTCCACTTTTACTTATGTATTTATACACTGTGTTTTATTATTTTTATGTTTTTATTCATTGTATTTGTCCCATTTTATTGTAGCTTCATAGTTTTCCATTCTATTTGAAGAGACACTTGTACAGCAGGCCAAGGCAAAGAGGCAGTCCCGAAACAAGCAAAACCAGGGAGCAGGACAGGGGACAGATTGTATTTGTCTTCAATGTGGAAGGGATTGTCACTCTCGAATTGGCTTTCTCAGCCACACTAGACGCTGTTCTGGGACCTCCATACAGAGCGTGTTACCATAGTCTCTCGAGACTGAAGGATGCCTACTATGAATGGGAGGAATAATAAGCTACCTTGCAGGATGCAAATGTGGGGCATGTGCTGCTGAAGGCCATTAACATGGTATGTACCTTTTGGGCCAAATCGAACAACATTAGAAGCTCACAGTGATTTCACAGAGATTTGTCCAATCAGACTTGCCAGCAAAGCCCACTTCTACCTGCAAATGACCAATCACAAAAAGCCAGCAATTTTCAAGATGGTGATAGAAAAGCCCATATCTTTCAGCATGTAAGGAATTTGAGCCATATGTATTTTGTAGTTTAAGCCTTAGAACATAAATAGCTGAATTTAATGGAACTGATATCAGTTTAATGGAATCTAAGCGTAAAGGATGTTTTTAAAGTAAAAGAATCCACTCTCAGCCAGTGAAAATGACTGCCCCCACTCATACAGAAGCATTAATTTACAATCTCCTGGATTAAAAACACTAGGAAGAATAAGACAGTGAATCAAATGCATAATGTTTGCCATGTCAAAAATATGGTGACCATCAACTATCTTGGATGAAATTAAAATGTGTGTAAAACGTATGCATTATTTTCCAGCTTTCAAACACATAGCTGAGTGGTAGCAATTATGAGATATAATAACTACACACCTTAATAGTATACCCCATTTTTCAAAAGTTCACAAAATTTGCCTCAGATTGTCAGTACCCATCAAGTTTCAGACCCTCACAGTAGCATATAGTTGAATTTTAAATTCTATTACTGCTGCACATAAAATAAATCCCACAAAATGAACACACAATTTTTTCCCAGCTGTGCTATATCAAGAAATACAGTATAAAACTAATATAATCTTTTGGTTTTAGTCTGGATCCCAAAATGTGATATTCTTCCATAAGTTCTATTACTAATAGAATAAGGGCTAAATGCAAAACAAGCTGGTTGTACTTACAGCCCATTAGAAAACAAATTGGTTGAACTTAGGGGCCATTGGAATTTTTTTAAAAAATTTGAAGTACTTCTAGTCTACTCTTCAAATTACATCAGTCAAAGCAGCTTGCAACAGCTATTTAAAGCATCACTGTCTCTATTTATTAGAGACAACCATTATAATCCCTTCCAGATTGTTAGACTGCAACTAATTCTGAGCTTCAAGTATATAATTTTCTATGGGGGGTGTATATGGAAAGAAAATAATCATTACAAGTTCACCACAAATTGTCTCACTGATTTTAATAGGATCCCCCCAAAATCAGACTTTTCCCTCCACACACTTACTCCAGTATACAATGGTGCTGTCTTTCCCATGCTCGATTAAACACCATGTTTTGTAATGCTGTTGTTTGCCACCTTAACCTTTCATGATAGGTGTTTCTAAAGAACATAGTAAAAATGAGCCATTTAACTATTTAAGTTCATTTATAGCAGAATCAAAACAGTTTTGATTTACTATAAATTCTACTAGTCAAACAGTTTCAACTAGATTTCTGAATCAATTTTTAAAAAATGGGTTTAAATTATACAATAGTAAAAAAACAAAACCCCGCATTTCTCAATTCTGAAGACCTTGCCTTATTCAACCACCAAGACTAAATGTCGGAAACATGTGATTTTAAATCATAGCTCAGAAGATAAAGTCTTAATCACTCATTGTGATGGGAGAAAAGTAAATGCATTGGACATCTGGCACATGACAGAATTATGAGTTCAACAGAATGCTGCTGTGAACAAAGTGTGCTTCACCTCTGTAAAGAATACTTTTCATTTTTTTAAAAGTGCCAAGTAGGAGAATCAAGGATATAATCCATTACATGGAAATAAAAGAACATTTGATAAATGAACTCAACTAGAGACTGTTCATTCAAGGAGCATGGGATTAGTGGAAGGGGCGATATGCCATGTAGTCTGCTACATGCAGCAGCATGCACAGCAGAGAATGATGTCTCATCACCTGTTGTATGTGTGTAGGGAGGTGGGAGGATCAACACTCACGTACATGGAGTATGAGAAAGTGCCATCATGTTCTTCAGCTCAGTTCATATCCATCATAAGCCCTGTACCATCCTTCGAAAGTCTGTATAAAATCTTTATGGCATCGCTGTGTGGCACCTCAGACAGAATGTAAAATCCATTCTATGCACTACCTCAACAAAATAGCTATACTTACACACATTGATGTGATTCCACACTAATTACACCTTCCCTACATGGAAATATCTTCAATAACTGTTTGTCAGGTATTTAATACTAAAAATCTTCTTTTAAACATAATCTAGTTGTCTGTACTTCTTTTGCTTTTCTTGTTGCAGTATTTAATGTGTGAATTATTAAACTACCTTTTGGTATATCTTTTGGTATAGTTAAAATGGTCATTAGGACATAGAACCTATTGTTAATTTATCTGAATCCCACCATTGCCCTTGAGGAACTTTTTAAGTGTCGGGTGTGAGAAAAGGCAAGCTGATTCAGAATTTGGAGGCTGGTGTGCAACAATCGCAGAAATACAGACTTTTGGTGTGGAGTGGGATAAACCACATTGAGAAAGATGTAAAAGAAAGGTGAGGAGGGTCTTCAGAGAGACTGGTTTTTGGCGATGGCAAAAGAAGAGAATGATTTCCATTTTTTATTATAGAGAATCTGAGTTGATGTCTTTCTGGCTCTATCGAGGATAGCCTTTATGGTGGGAGAATCCTCCATGCCGTAAGTTTGAGAGACATTAGATCTGGATGGTGGATTGTCCCCTTGTCTTGAGTCAGTAAGTGAGGGATGGTTGGGAGATGCAGATGGTTCAAGGAGATTTTCCTGAGTTGGGAGAACCATGGTCGTTGAGGCCACCATGGAGCAATTAGAATGGCAATGGTATGGGACTGATGGAGTCTTATAATGGTCCGTTGAATGAGTGGGATTGGAGGAAAGAGATACAGGATGCTCTGAGCCTAGTGAATCATAAAGGCTGAGTTGGGTGAACCTTGGTTGGCAGGGCCACCATGGAGTGATGAGAATGGCATTGGTGTGGGACTGACGGAGTCTTATGATGGTCCGCTGAATGAGTGGGATTGGAGGGAAGAGATACAGGATGCTCTGAGCCCAGTCGATCATAAAGGCATCCCTGAGTGAATGAGTGTCGGTTCCTGCTCTGGAGCAGTATAGGGGGCACTTTGAGTTGTGGGAAGTAGCAAAAACGTCTATTGCTGAGGTTTCCTATCAGTTGCATAGCTGGTTGTACACAGTGTTGTCTAGAGACCATTCATGCATGGGCGTGATCATCTGGCTGAGGTGATCTGCTAGTGAGTTGTCTTGAGTTGCTAAGTGAACTGCTATGGGAAAAATGTGGTGGGAGTAGCACCACTCCCAGAGTCTTATTGCTAAATACAGGAGGGGGGGAGAATGGGCAGCCTCCCCCCCCGTTTGTTGATGTAAAAAAGTACAGTCATGTCATCTGTGGCCAGTTGAATCACCTGTCTGGAAATTAGTGGTTGAAATGCTCAAAAGGCTTTGATTATTGCTAAAAGATCTAAATGATTTATGTGCAGTACTTTTTCTTTTGAATTCCACGGGGCATGAACCTTGTGACATAGACGTTCTCGGACATAGATGTACTCTCTGTGAGGTAAGTCGTAGTCCTCAGGAGAGATATGTTTTTTTTTCTTAGCTCTGCGCTTACGAGGGGGTAACCTCGGAGTGCTCAAAAGGCTTTGATTATTGCTAAAAGATCTAAATGATTTATGTGCAGTACTTTTTCTTTTGAATTCCACGGGGCATGAACCTTGTGACATAGACGTTCTCGGACATAGATGTACTCTCTGTGAGGTAAGTCGTAGTCCTCAGGAGAGATATGTTTTTTTTTCTTAGCTCTGCGCTTACGAGGGGGTAACCTCGGAGATTGCCCATTTAGCTCTGCGCTTACGAGGGGGTAACCTCAGAGGAGACATTGCCCATCCTGAAAATGCAGGGCTTGAATGGACAAGGCCAGGCTGGATGCGGCATCAGCCAATGAAGGGCCAACACTAAATGATAGGCTGTCAGTCAAAGCAGGAGGCTGGCCTAGAGGTGAGGGCCAACACTAGGTGATAGGCTGTCAGCCAAAGCAGGAGGCTGGCCTAGAGGCGGAGACGTTATGTCATCTATATCAGAAACAGGCTCTGGAGCTTCCCTGGAAGATTCTTCAATAATAGGAGATGGAGAGTTCCTGGAAGATTCTTCAATAATAGGAGATGGGAGAGTTGGTTGCGGTGGATCTGGATGGACTGACTGGGGAGACTTATTTGATTTTTTTTGTTTTGGTTTTGTCCTTCAATTTAGAGATGTCCTTCAGCTTGGAGGACTTCGACGCCAAGGTCGGCTTCGATCTCAAGGGCTTCGGTTGTTCTTTGGGTCTCGAAGATGGGGTTGCCAGATTCAGGATCGAGTGTTGTTCCTGTCGGGGAGCCTGATTCTATCATGGGAGCAGGAGGGTGGAGAGAGCTTAACCTTTGTAATCTTAATTTGAGGACTGGTTTTGTAAGCTTTTTGCACTCCGAACAGCTATGTGTCTGATGTTGTTCTCTGAGGCAGAAGAGGCAACTATCATGGCCGTCGGAAAGTGGGATCTTGTTTGTGCAAAGCACACTATGCTTAAACGGCCCGGGGGGGGCATAAAAGAAGCATGAAGAAGTGGAAGGGAAGAGGGGGAAGGGGAAGGAGTTGAAAAGAGGCAAAAACTCTGGAGAGTATAAAAGGAAGATAAACTCACAAGGGAACATCAAAATAAAGAAGAATTGGCCATAAGGCACGATAGAAGATGATTTTCAAAATCGAAAGTACAGCACTAGCTCGTCGAATGGTCTGGCCTGAGCAGCAGCTAAAATGAACTGAGGAGGTCTTTGGTGGGCGGAGCATACACTCCATGAGGGAACATCCCACTAATTATATATCTTTAAGCTCTAGAAGTTTCCAAGAGGTCTTGCGTAAAGAAGAATTGGCCATAAGGCACGATAGAAGATGATTTTCAAAATCGAAAGTACAGCACTAGCTCGTCGAATGGTCTGGCCTGAGCAGCAGCTAAAATGAACTGAGGAGGTCTTTGGTGGGCGGAGCATACACTCCATGAGGGAACATCCCACTAATTATATATCTTTAAGCTCTAGAAGTTTCCAAGAGGTCTTGCGCAGGCGCAGTGAGGGAACATCCCACTAATTATATATCTTCAAGCTCTTGAAGTTTCCAAGAGGTCTTGCACAGGCGCAGTATAACCCAATTGTGTGCATTCACAGAGATCACGAAGAAGAATCAAGTTCGCATTCACAGAGACCACGAAGAAGAATCAAGTTATTTCCAAAGATGAAAATGCTTTATAATCTTCTCAGTACATGACACTCTTAGGAAGATAACACAGTTTTTTCCCCTGTCTGCATCCAAACTATCACCTCTACTGTATCTTACCTATTTTAGACAAAAATTACTGCCATCAATGCACATTACCTTCTTCCTACATCCACTTGTGTTTCTTGAAAAGCTCCAGAAGGACAACCATTTCTAGAAATCCACCCATCCACCTTACCTTTAATGGCTCTCATTGACCACCCACATCACTCAAAACTGTTCTCCTTATATTTGGAGAAGTTTTGAGAAGTGCCTGTAAAAACAAAGGAACAGGAACTTTCTGTCTAGGATTCCTTAATGTAAGTTACCTTTGAATGCAAGTCAAAGAAAGGACAGCAAACACTGAAAATAATTAAACTTCCTCCTTAGCAAGCCTTTAAGACACCACAGGATTTTAAACAGATGGCTATATCACAGGCGTAATTCTGGGCTATACACCTCTTGGAAAGGCATGATCTTACACAGAACCAGGGAGAATGATCTGACAATGATCAGATGGCAACGAATTCAGCAAACAGGAAGCTAAGATGAAGGTAACTTTGTATCTATTGTGATGGTACAAGCAAAATTAGGACATTTTCTCACTGTATTTCAATGTGTACTTATGAGAAAAAGAGATCCTTTGAATAACTTGCATCTAGATTGGAGCCAATGCGGAGGGGAACACACTTCCTTATACTGGGATAAAGACATGGTTTATATAGTGCAATATTATCTACAGTGATAATCCAGAGTTATAGAAAGGATTTTTTTTCAGACCAGTCCTATCTGGAGATTGAATTTGGGATCTTCTGCACAGAAAGCACATGCTCCTCCACTGATTCATGCTCCCTCTCTAAAAACAGCAAACAATGTCAACTCCGTAAAATAAGAACTTGGCCACATCTTTAAAAGCATTCAGAAGTTACTCATATGAAAGATGATCATATGTAGTCTGTATTTACTTTTAACAGCATTATAAAAGAGAAAATTCTGGACAGTACAGCTTTTCAAAACCATCCCAACAACATGCC